GTAGGACACTCTTGTGGGACACTCTTGTAGGACACTCTTGTGGGACAGGACTCGCTTCCAGGTCGCCAGATACTCCGCGTACTAAAGTTGTACTGCAAGGGTCGCCGGTTCTCAGCTTTTTGGGACACTCTTGTAGGACACTCTTGTAGGACACTCTTGTGGGTCACTCTTGTGGGGCACTCTTGTAGGACACTCTTGTGGGACACTCTTCTGGGACACTCTTGTAGGACACTCTTGTGGGACACTCTTATAGGACACTCTTGTGGGACACTCCTCTTGTAGGACACTCTTGTAGGACACTCTTGTGGGTCACTCTTGTGGGAAACTCTTGTGGGACACTCTTGTAGGACACTCTTGTGGGACACTCTTGTGCGACACTCTTGTAGGACACTCTTGTGGGACACTCTTGTTGGACACTCTTGTGGGACACTCTTATAGGACACTCTTGTGGGACACTCTTGTGGGACACTCTTGTAGGACACTCTTGTGGGACACTCTTGTGGGTCACTCTTGTGGGAAACTCTTGTGGGACACTCTTGTGGGACACTCTGTGGGACACTCTTGTGGGACTCTCTTGTGGGACACTCTTGTAGGATGCTCTTGTGGGACAGTCTTGTAGGACACTCTTGTGGGACACTCTTGTGGGACACTCTTGTAGGACACTCTTGTGGGATACTCCTGTAGGACACTCTTAAGGGACACTCTTGGGAGACACTCTAGCGGGACACTGTTGGGGGACACTCTTGTGGGACTCTCTTCCAGCTCCCCAGATACTCCGCGTACTAAAGTTGTACTACAAGGTCGCCAGTTCTCAGCTTCCAACAAAGTCGCCAGTGCTCGACACGCGCGCTCGACACGCGCGATCTCCGCAGAGGGCGCACTCTCGCCTGCATTTCGCGCACTCGACGCGCGCGATCTCCGCAGAGGGTTGCGTGCGCGTGGGACAAATCGCGCTCTCGCCTGCATTTCGCGCACTGGACGCGCGCGATCTCCGCAGAGGGTTGCGCGTCAAGTCTCCAAAACGAGCGTTTCGTACGAGACTTCCTCAAAAACTCGCACGTCAAAGTCTGCAAAACGAGCGTTTCGTACGAGACTTCCTCCAAAAGTCAAGCGGAAACACCCATCGGAGCACACGCATCACGCAGCCCTGCCAAGCAGTTTCGCGATTCCAGCCCCTCCAAACAACATCCGCTCACGCGCCAATCCCAATGTGACAGCGACATTCACCTCTACCACAACTCACAACCTCACGATTCCCTGCGCCTGCCACGAATCTTTCCCCATCCACACGTCAAACGCGCACAAAGTACTGCGCCTGCCACGAAATGTCACCTCCCACACCTCGCAACCTCACGATTCCCTGCGCCTGCCACGAGAATCGCACTTCCACGCCTCAAAACCCGCACGAAGTCCTGCGCCTGCCACGAAAAGTGACAATATCATCGCATGTGAGCTTCAACAAAATTTGCACCACACCACACGTTTGGAATGATTTCGACCCGTTCAGAGCACACTCCCATCCACCAAAATCGCCATTTCAGCTACCGGGCTTCGATGCCACACCCTGAAACGCAAATCCGAATGGCACGGCCACATCCAACACCCCAAAAAAACACGACTCTCCAAACGCTAATCCCAATGGCACTGCGCAGCAAACTGCGGATCTCACAAAACGCTGCGCCTGTGCAGCGAAATGCATCACGTTTCTTGCGCGACATGTCGGTGTCATGCAAATCACAATGGAATAGCGGCGCAAACTGACACGTGACACATCCATGAAAAGTCACTTGCAAAAGCTTCCCCCAATGGCAGCAAATTTGAGACGCGACGACGACGACACGAGACGACGAGAGACGACGACAAACGACGACACGACGCAAGCCATGCAAAGCTCCAACCCCCAGACCCTCAACTATAAACGGGAACCCTTCGCTACGCATTCGGGAAAAAAGAGCAGTCTATTATTCACGTTGTTCCAAAACTGCACTTGTCCGCTTGTCCAGAAGTTCATGCTGCAGATATGAGGCTTCAAAACCCAAACTCAAGATAAAAGGTGCTGAAGACCACTGAAGACAAGCAAGAACTACGTAACGAGAGTCACACCCTTAACTTGCCTTTTGGTAATGTGTTTTTTCCCAATATTTTTTTCATGTTGTTTATCGTTTGTTCTATCTTATCTCTGGGGCTTCACACACACTCACCTGCCATTTCCTCGCATCCTAAACCCATCCGGACCCCTCCTCGGAACCATCATGCCCCGAAAAACACCGGAACTGACGACACGAAACGAAGGCGGAGATGCCACATGAAGCCCGCAGCACCGCCACGGGAAGCAAAGCTGTTGGGGGGCCTGGCCAGGACATGTGTGTATGTGGCCGCCGGTGGCCAGATTACCCAAGGTCTGCTGGCGCAGGATGTTTGTCCCAAACCTGAAAAAAAAACATTGATTGGCGCGCGTATACGCGAGGGTCATGTTGATTGGAGCCCGTCAGAATTGCAAGCGAGTGAACAAACCACCTATGGCCTATGGCTCCTATGGTCACTTCAGTAGGTCATTGTTGTTCATCACGGTTCTTGGCAACAATCAAAAAAACAATCAATCAATCCATCCCGGACATTTTCCAATCACCACGCCCGCATGCCCGACCTTCTCCGGGTCTGCGACCTCTCCCAACGGCGCCGTGGACCGACCTTCTCGGCTGAGGGCTCCGCCCTTGTGCCCCGACAAAGAGTCGCGCTTCCAAGGCCGGTCCCGGCGGGCGGGCGGTGCCCGGCGGTGCCCGGGCGGGTCCGAGCGGGTGTCCGAGCGGGTGACCGAGCTTTGCGTCCAGGATTGGCAGTTCCAGGTTCCAGACTTCATGGGAAAGGAAGAATACGAAAGCTCACAAGCATCTCTCTGGTCATGATGGGCAAGGATAGGCAAAGGTGGGCCACTCGGTCGGATGTTAAGCACGGCCAATGGCAAAGCATGGTCATCCTGCCCAACATGGACCCAGATCCCACAAGATGACTGTGCCATGCTTTGCCAATGAATTTGCTTGCTCAATTGATCACAGCGGATTGCTTCTCTCCCTGAGCCAACTCGGAGTTTGCAATGTCTCCCAAAGGGTTTCAGGAGAGGCTCCTGTATCATGCTCGTCGTTTCCAATGCAAACCGCCGCAGAATGTGCTGAAGCGCTATCAGCAACGTCATCATTCATTACAGTTTGGCGAGCTGCAAAAGAACACGTTTCATATCGCTTCTTGGGTGGCAGAGCTTCCAGCTAGCCAGTTGATATTGGAACACGATGGTTTGTCTGTGGTGTCGCTCTTGCGGCGGTACTTGAAGTCTTTGAAGCACGGAGAATCTCTGTGCGATCATTTGACGAAAGTGCTGAGTAGGATTTCTGAGCGAATCCAGGCAAGTTCGGACATTGCCATGGCATGCGCAGACCTTGTAGAGGACCTGCAGCATTTTGTTCCAGAGGCCAAGGCTACAAAGGCAGCCAGGCTGATGAACCAGGCGATACATCTCTGGCGAAACACTACATCTGAGACAAAGCAAGAGGAATATGTTGCTGGATTGGAGAAATCGATTGGAGAGGTGGACCTCGACGACCTTTGCCGAGTCGGCACCATCTTCCGACGTGCGGTGGCTGCATTGTCTCCACCTCACTGCATGAGTGAGAACGCCCGAACTGCATTAGATGCTTTGCCACAGCTGCAAGGAGCAAGGCCAGATTTTCAGTTTCGGGTGCGGAAAGTTGTGCTGTTTTGCTTGGATCACTTGGATTTAGCTGATTCCAAGGTTCAGCCAGCTTTGCAGTTTCTCAAATCACTGCTCAGCAAGTATCAGGAACTTGACGCTGGCGGAGACCAGAAGATTGGTTGCAAGAAGCATTGGCGTTTGCTAGAGATGAAGTGTGGCATGTCCTCCAAGCATGCTGCTGCTGACGAGGATTCTGGTACCCCCAAGAAAGAGAAGCGCATTCTCTGTCGGCACGACAGGCGACGAGACAGTTGCCGAATTTGCCAGCCTTGCCCACATGGGCATATAAAACGGTTGTGTTTAATTTGCCGCCCTTGCCCACACGGCAAGAGTAAGCGCGACTGCATCATGTGCTCTGGTTGTGAACATGGCAAAGCCAAACGCCAGTGTCCGGTGTGCAATGCTTGCGTTCATGGCCGGCACAAGTACACATGCCCTTTGTGCAAACAGAGAAAACATCAGCGATGTTCCGGAGACACTTGTGCTGTGAGCAGACACTTTGTTCGAAAGACTTGGTCAATCTTAGTGAACTGTTGGGATTTAAATATAGTAATTATATAGTAATTACTTGCTAGATCTTGTTTCTGTCCAGGGGTCTTAGACGGGCTTTGCATTTGTTCCAAGTGGCACCCCGCGCGGCTGGGCTCACGGCAAATGCCTGGACCTTTCCCCCTTTTCACCCATCGACGTGGACCTTCGGTGCTTTGGGCACATCGTGTGCCGAAACGACGGAAACGCTTGTTTCGGGTCGGGTGTCTGTGGGCCACATGGGTT